CCTTTCCTTTCCTTTCCTTTTTCCGTTCCTTCTCTTCCATTTCCTTTCCTTTTTCCTTTCCTTTCCCTTTTCCCTTCCTTTCTCCTCTCCTTTCCTTTCCTTCTTTTCCAATTCCTTTCCTTTCTCCTTTCCTTTCTTTTTTCCTTTCCTTTCCTTATTTCCCTTTCCCTTCTTTTTTCCCTTCCCTTTTCCTCCTTTTTCATCCTTTCCTTTCTTCTTTCCCATTTTCTTTCCTTTTCCGTTCCTTTTCATTTTCCTTTCCTTTCTCTTTTCCTTTCTTCTTTCCCATTTCCTTTCCTTTTTCCTTTCTTCTTTTCCTTTTCCTTTCCTTTTTCCTTTCCTTTTTCCTTTCCTTTTTTCCCTTTTCCTTTCCTTTCCCTCCCCCTTCCTTTCCTTCCTTCCTTTCTGGGGTCTGAGGGAGAGGGAGGGGACCCTTTTCCTCCTTGCCCCCCTCCCCAACATCTGCTCTGATGGCAATTATGGCTAAAAAAAATTCAGGTGCNGTAACTTTGGTCACTAAACCCATTATACCACCTTTCTTGCCACAGTTCTTAAGTGAATAACTGCAGCTGATAAGTTAGTAACATAAGTGAATCTTAATTAAATCTTTAAATGTATGGTATGGATTTTTGTTTGTTTTGTGAGGTTTTGTGCTACGGGGGAGGTTGGTGCCTTCAGTGTTGATTCTTAGCAACTAATCCTTATCCTGAAGTTTTCTTGGCAAATTTGCATGCTTCCTAGGACTCAGGGAAAATAACTGTCCCAAGATCTGTCCCATTGGTTTTGTGCCTAAAGTGGAACTAGAATGCAGTTTCCCAAATTCTAGCCTTAACCACTCCTCTAAACTGGCTTTTTAGAACTGCATTGGGACATAACAAATTTCATTTTAAAGCAGCATTATATATCTGGCCCAACAATAAAACAACTTTGGAAGGCCTTTATACTATTGTGGTTTGAATTTGAAAAAAATAGATACTCTGATTCTGTGCTTGAAATAGAAATTCTTCCAGTTTCTTCACAGATTTCACTGAATTTTCAGGAAGTCAAATTTCTGTTAGCTTCTTTGTGCTTTAGACCTAGCACAATATCAGCAGCAGCAAAAATTCAGATGAGTTTTTTTAAATATATTGTTTGGTTTTATTGATTTTAACCAACAAGGAATAATAGTTTATAAGATACTTTAACACTTTAGCTGAAATTTGATGAAAGTTCCAATAGTATAGTTCTAACTTTACATCTTTCAGATTTTGAAATTGCGTACCAGAAAATGCCACTGGCTTATTTTTCAGTTTGGTGTGGTTTATTATAAGGTATTGCTCAAAAGATTACATTTCATGGCATCATCATTAAGCACTACGTAGCATTATATGCACTGAAGAGGGCTAATCTTATTCTTTTCAGTGACACAAAGCATATATTATCTCTTTTATCAATTAAGAAAAAAATCAAATAAAGTAAATCTAGGCATTTGAGTGAAAGAAAGAAGCAGTTAATTAAGATGAGGAAATATTAAAATTTAAATGATGAATAATGCGAAAAGTGTCTGGGGGCAGCGGGACCAAACAAATGCGGTACTCAAAAAACTAGTCAATATTCAATTTTAAGGCTATGCCTGTTAGAGGCAGGACATGAGGACAAAAAAGACATATTCTGCTTTTGTTCGCCATCTGATAACCTTATGCAACTTAACTTAGAACTGCTGGTATTTGCACCTACTAGTACTAGAACAACAGACACCCATCATATGGTACAACAACAGACCAATCAGCTTGATATCAATATCTGGAAGATCTTGAAAAAGATAATTAAGCAACAAGTCTGTAGAGATTCTCAGTCATCCAGATCATAGTTGTGCTTCAATGACCTTCTAAAAGGATGCAAATTACCAGCTGTCTACAAGGATCACGTTGGATCGTGTTGTGCCTTTGCATTGTGCTTTTGCATTGTGCCTTTGTGGCTTCTGATCTGGTGTCGATCCCAGGTAGATCCTTGGTTCACCGAGGAGCTCCGGGAGATGAAACACTGGAAAAGACACCTAGAGAATGGTTGGAGGGCCAGTCGGTCCGAATCTGATCAGACACTAGTAAGAATTCATATTAAATCCTGCTTAGTGGCGATAAAAGTGACGAAATGGCAACATTTTTCCGCTCTCATCATGTCCACAGATAACTGCCCAGATGCCCTGTTTAGGGTGACCTGTTCCTTACTTAACCAAGGAACTGGGAAAGACCCCTTGCAGAGTAGGGCTGAAGAATTTGTTCAATATCTGCAGGATAAAATCACTCAGATCCGAACAGGCTTGGACTCTGACTGGGTAGATTCGGGTGAGTCGACGGGGATGAATCTTGNCTTCACTGTGAGATCATACTGCTGTAATTTCATAATCATTCGCTGCAAGCGTGGAGGAGTAGAAGCTAGTGGTTTTTGTAGTATGTACTCCAACTGTTTGTTGTCGGTTTCCACAATTACTGGGTGACCATATATATACTGATGAAATTTCTCACATCCATTCACAATGGCCATCATCTCTTTCTCAATTTGACATAATTGGATTGTGTCGTGGTCAGTGCACGTGAAGTGTATGCCACAGGATGTTCTTGTTGAGTCAGTACAGCACCTAACCCAAACTGGGATGCCTCCACTTGAAGCACAGTGTCAGCATTTGCGTCAAAATATTTCAGTATTGGCCTGGATGTTTAGTGATAAGTTTGTCAAAAGTCTTTTCCATTTTTGCATCCCAATACCAAATAGCATCCTTCTGAAGCAATGCACATAGCGGTGCTGTCTGTTGAGCAAGGCCCTAAGAGAATTTGGATAGGTAGCTGAAAATGCCCAATGATGATTCCTGCTCCTTTCTGGAGGTTGGAGGTTCATGTTAAGAACTGCTGTAATCTTTTTTGGATCAGGCTTCAAGCCCTCTTTGGTTAGTAGGTGTCCAAAATATGTAACTTCTTCTACCCCAATTTGAGTTCAAGATTTTTCTCACGACATTGATTGAGCAAAGCAGTAAGGTTTCTGTCATGCTCTATTTGATCCTTTCCATAGACCAACAAATCATCAACTATTACTTCAACACTCTGTGGACCAGCAATCAGTTTGTGTGATTTCTTTTGAAATATTTCCTGTGCAGATGCTATGCTGAAGGGTAGTTTTGTGAAGTGCCATCGACCCACAGAGGAGTTGAAAGTGGTGAGGTAACTGTTGGCTTTATCAAGACACAATTGCCAGTAACCAGACTGGCATCTAGTACACTGAACACTGTTGCTCCTACAAGCTTGTGTGCTATGTCCTCTATGGCAGGGAGTTTGTAGTGTTCTCTCATTATTACTTAGTTCAAACCATATGGGTCAATGTATATGCGAATTGCATCTGTGTTCTTCTTCTCCACCACAACCATAGAACTGATGCATTCTGATGGCTCAGTGACCTTCTTTAGTACTCCCAGCTTCTCCATCCTAGTGAGTTCCTGTCTAATTTTATCCACAAGAGTTAGAGATATTTTCCTTGGGGCATGAATGACAGGCTGTGCACCCTCTTTTATATGTATGTGGCTTATACTTGGGAGGCATCCCAGGCACTTGAATAGATAGTACTCATGTTTAATGTCAGCCTCCCTCAGACCTCTACACCCACCATCCATAGTCATTATGATCTTCACAAGTCCAATCTCTTTACTTGTTTTTAGACCTAGTACAGCTGGGGCTTGTGTTTCTATCACAAACAATTGTAAAACCTTTTCGGATCTAAGAGCATTTTGCATGACAGCAACCCATTACTTTCAGCTTTTCACCACCATATCCCATTAGTTTCGGTAAGTCCAGAGTCTCTAAGGGGGATTTGTTCCTGAGGTGTTGCAAGTATATGTGGCATGGCACACAATTTACTTGTGCTCCAGTATCTATTTTTGAAAGTGACTAGAGTTTTATTAGCACCTATCTGTAATGTTACATTTGCTTCATCTGCAGACTGATGTGCTTTCTGTACCGCTGCAAGATATATCAGGGAGCAGTCCGAGTCTGATCCTGCATTGTCATCATTGTCCTCTATGGCATGCACAGCCCATGTTTGTGACCTTCCAGTTTGTAAAGACAGTTTACACATCCTGGCAAAGTGTCTTCTTTTCTTGCATTTATTGCATATCTGTCCCCTTGCAGGACAGACACTATTTTTATGGTGCATGTTTCCACAATATCTACAAGCTGCTTCTCTGTTACTTGTCCCAGTGCCATAGGTGCCTTGTGGTCCTTTGTATGCCCTTTCTTGACCATATCTACTGCTTTGAGTTTCTATAGCATTGATCTGGTGCTGTGTTCCTTCCAGTACCTGTATGTTCTTTTGTGACATTTCATATGCTCTGGCAATCCTTATGGCTTTCTCAAGATTTAAGTCTTCTTCCTACAGCAGTTTTTCCTGAACTTACTTAAACTTATTGCCCATCAGAATATGGTCTTTAATCATATCTCCAACATCATGAAAAGCACAGTCTTTGGCAAGAAAATGCAGCTGTGTTACCCATTCACCCACAGATTCACCTCCACACTGGTTCCTCTCATAAAACAGTTTTCTATGCACTGTGGAATTTTTCCTTGGGTTGTAGTATGCTTCAAACTTTGCAAACAATACCTCTGTTTTCTTTTTGTCCTCTGCAGTGATCTCCCCACTTGCTTGCCAGGCTCTGTACACATCATGTCCTTTCTGTCAGACACATACCAGAAATTGTGATGCTTTCTGCTGATCAGTCCATTTGTCTGCATAAGGTCCTGCAAACACACCACCTCTATCAGCTCCCTCCACTTTGACCAGTTTTCAGATATGTTCCCTGACTCCAAATCCAGGGAAGGAATGCTGTTTGCTGCCATGACTCTTCTCACCCCACTCCTGGTACCATGTGATGATTTAACACAACATAAAGGCATGCACACTCTGCGCATGTGCAAGCCGAGAATGGCTGCCAAACCTTATCGCTCTGACTGGAGAAGACGAAAAGAACCTGAAAACCCATGGATTTAGACCTGATAACTGGGCAAGGAGGGGTTCCTATAGAAGAGCGAGCTCCAGGGGACCCGAAGAGACAAATTACCTGGGGGGTCGTCACCTTCGGGGGGCTCCTACTTGGTGCTGTGGCTCTTGACTGTCTCTGTGCTGGTCGTCGTCGGCGATGGCAACGCAGCGCTGATGGCTACGCCTCTGGGCAGTGCCTTCAGCGTTTCCAACGTCACCGGCAGCTTCAAGAGCAGCTTCAACGGCATCTTTTCGATCGTGAGGAGCNCGCCAACAAAAGAGCACCATCAGAAGCGCAATTACAGTTAAAGTAAGGGTTAGGGTAAGGGTTAGGGTTAGGGTTAGGGTTAGGGTTAGGGTTAGAGTTAGGGTTAGGTTCAGGGTTAGGTTTAGGTTTAGGGTTAGGTTTAGCATTAGGTTTAGCGTTAGGTTTAGAGCGCGCTTCTGTTGGCACACTGTTGGCACGCTTCTGCACTCATTCGTCGGCGTGATTTCAAACTCACAGTTTTCTCCCCGCGGTTTCGTCGGCGTGCTTTTGTCGAGCGCGCATTTATCAGTGAACCCTGAAAAATGACTAGGTTGTATTAAGCTGAAATGAATTCTGGATCCTTGCTGTTGTTTTTCCTTGCAATATAAAATTTCCTATACTTTGGGGGAAGCTTCATTTGCCTTATTGAAACATAAACTCAATTGATCTTTAACAAGCAAAAATATAAATGTATATTTTATAAATATACATTTAGTAAAACATTTTTATGTTACAAATATAAAGCAAAATTAACTTTCCTCATTAAAGTGCTTTTGAAACATTTGGGTTTGGTTTGGCTTGTTTTGATTTGGTTTGGATTTGCTCTCTCCTTAAAATCTGCACCAAGCTAATTAAAATGCTATGGATAGTAAATAATCTCAATACAAGAAAGGATTTTAAGACATAAAGTAAAAGTTTCCCGTGTTCTTATATGATCGCATTTACATTTATATGAACTTCATGTTTTTATATTTATTCATTTCATGATTTGATTTTTTTTTAAGATATGGGCAAAAAGGCAAAGCCATCAGAATAGAGAAAATTGTCTACACGGGAAAAGAAGGCAGAAGTGTTCAAGGCTGCCCTATAGCTAAATGGGTAAGAATATAATAATATATAATAAACCTTATAAAGGATATTGTTCATCTCTAAAGATATAATTAGTGCATGTTAACAAAAATAAATCTTATTCAGGTTTTTTTTTAAATCACAGAAGTTAACTGGGAATATATTTTTTAATAAAATATGACAGATTAATAACAGTTCTATCTTGGAAATTTTATAGAAGATGTATACTAAGATGAAATTATTGTCTTATGTACATAAGTCCTTTAAAAATCTGTGGACCTGCCATCTCACTATGTTATATCTTTTTAAATTATGCTAGGTTTATTCTATCTTGCCTTTCCAAATCTGTTATTAAAATTTGAAACTCACAGACCTAAAGTTGGAATGAAGCCCCACAGTTCATGAACTTTTAATAATACCACTATTATATCATTGTTACCTTTTAATGTATAATTGGGTAGAAGATATAATGATGGGCATTTAATCCATCTAGTCCAGTGATGGTTAACCTTTTCGGCACCAGGTGCCAAAACTGGAGTGTGCATGCACTGGAGCGCTGGAACCTGGAAGAGAGCAGCTGACTGGTGTACATGTGCATGGCAGCCAGCTGTGTTTCTGGGCTCCAGTGTGCATATGCGCATCAGCCCAGCTGTTCTGGCATGCATGCACACTGCCCAGCTGCTCTCTTCTGGGTTCCAGCACACGCATGTGTGCTGGCCAGTTGTTCTTCATGCAAAGACCAGCTGACTGGTGTGCATGCAAGCAATGGAACCCGGAAGAGCAGCTGATGATGATCCACATCCCCACAGAGAGGTCTCTGTGTGCCACCTCTTGGCATGTGTGCCATAGGTTTGCCATCACAGATCTGGTCCATTGTCTTTCCTGGCTCATAGTAGCTCTTTCAAGTTGTAGGCAGATTCTTATCCAGTCCTGCTTTGAAAATTTCAAGCAAGGAAAGAAACTGCAAGCTGAACCAGAGAACTATGGTATGCAAAAGATATGCAGAAATCTGGTTTTCCCAAAACTGGACAAAAGCATTAATGCGGCCTGCTAACCTGAAATTCCACAATTTTTTACAGGAAAAATATTTTTTGATATACTTTCAGGTGATTCGTCGAAATGGAACGGAAGAAAAACTTCTTTGTTTAGTGCGAGAACGTGCAGGCCACCACTGTGAAACAGCTGTGATAGTTGTACTTATCTTGGTGTGGGAAGGAATACCTCAGAGCCTAGCAGACAAGCTGTACTCTGAATTGTCTGACACTTTAATGAAGTATGGCACACTCACAAACCGGCGGTGTGCACTCAATGAAGAGTAAGTGAAGTATGTACTTCCTTCACCTCCAGGAAGTAAAATTTTCCTACAGTTTAAATATAAATGACATAGATCGTAATAAACATAGTTTCCTCATTTAGCATACAAAAAATGTATTCAAACTGCAACTCCTAATATTCCCAAATAGCATGGCCAGGTTGGCAGACAACTTACAGATCTGGGACCTCTTTTCACTGTAAAAGCAGGTAAGTAGGTATATGTAGTCAGGGGTAGGCTTCAAAAGTTTTAGCAAGGGGTTCTCAGCCTGGTTGCTCGGTGGGCATAGCCATGGTGGGCATTCAGGAGTGGGTGCCTGCCGCCATTACTACCGGTTCAAAGCTCCAAAAATAGTATATAGTAGTATATGTGGTCTAATAATAATATAATTGTGAGAGGGATCTTGTCCACTGTGAGAGTGGACAACCATTTAAATATGAGCCAGCAGTGTGCAGCAGCTGCCAAAAAAGCCAACACAGTTCTAGGCTACATAAACAGAGGGATAGAATCAAGATCACGTGAAGTGTTAATACCACTTTATAATGCCTTGGTAAGACAACACTTGGAATACTAGATTCATTTTTGGTCGCCATGACGTAAAAAAGATGTGGAGACTCTAGAAAGAGTGCAAAGAACAAAGAGCAACAAAGATGATTAGGGGACGGCAGGCTAAAACATATGAAGAACGGTTGTGGGAACTTGGTATGTCTAGTTTAATG